GTCAGAAGGTTCCATCATCCTCACTCGCTCGCTGGGTTCCGGGACTATGTCGATCTGTTGCTGAAGCTTGCGCTCTTCACATCAATGGAAATGTGGAGGGGGAACCAAAGCTGAAAAAAGATGACATGGGAGCAGCACTGTCAAAACGGTCACGTGCCCTTCCGAAGAGACTGTCGCACCTGCCAGGAGCAAAGCGCCAAGTCCCGGCCTCATCGAAAGGTCACACACCCACTGGCAGCGACGCTGTCACTGGACACTGCTGGTCCATATCCTGTCGCCAAAGATGGTAAAGACTTGATGAAGTACATACTCGTTGGAACCTACACCTGGCTTCTTCCTCAAGAACAGCATCCGCCAGTACCAGACGATGAACTGGCTGACTCTGATGAAGTGCTGCTTGAAGAAGAGGATGAAGAGGAAGGAAATGAAAAGAATGATGAAGAAGAGGGTGTGGCGGAAGAAGGCGAACAAGGTGAGGAGACGAAGGAAAGTGAAGTGGGTGAAGAAAAGGAAAACCCCGACCTGATCACCTTCAGACTCGCCATTCCGATGTCCTCAAAGGATCAGAAGACGGTGCTGTCCACGATCCAGCAAATGTACATTCAGCTCAGGGTGATGGGCTACCACGTGGCAAGACTTCACACTGATCTCGGGGGAGAGTTCAGAGAAAGATCCCTTACCCAATGGTGTCGCTCAAGGGATATCCATCGCACCACAACGGCAGGAGTCTCCTCTCAGTCCAATGGACGTGTGGAAAGAGCGATTCAAACAGTGAAGTCCCACATCCGTCGGGCCCTTGGCATGGCTGGTATGCCAGCGAGTCGATGGCCTCAAGCATGCCACTATGTCCACGAGCGGGAGCGAAGGCGCATGGCCGACCTCGGTCTGGGTGATGTCCCGCCTTTTGGTCATGAGCTCCTGGTCAAAAGAAGATTTTGGAAGACAAAAGAATTGGAAGCGACTCATGAGAAGGTTCGCTACCTGGCCCCAAGACCCGATGCTCACGGTCACCTGGTGTTGAGAGACAATGGCTCTACGGCGATCGTCCCGTACTTCATCATGAAGACCCAGGAACCTGAGCCGAGCCAATCAACTTGGATGGCTGTTACAAAGGCCGCTGAGGAGGCGAGGGTCCCTATGAAGTCCGAAGAAGGATACGGGGAAAAATGGGAGCCAAAAGTATGAAGTTGGAAGAAGATGAGTATGAAAGGGTTGAAGAAGAAAGAGAGCGGCACCTGGAAAGGATCTCCAACATCGTCCTGGAGGAAAGCGTGATCATGCTCAAGGACGAAATGAAGGTCATGGATGTCGTCTATGAGGAGCTGAGGAAAGTTAAAAGCGCTATGCCCAAAGAGGAGGAACCGGTCCTTCGAACCAGAGTGGTCTCCCCAAAAGAACTTCTCCGAGAAGCTCCCAAATGGGATGAAGCCATCAGGAAAGAGCTCCATCAACTGTTTGAAGAGAAAAAGGCTCTCCGCCGGATTGATGAAGATGAGTTCAAATCCCTCCAAGAAAAGTGGGGAAGAAAGCTGGAGGTGTTGCCCTCGAAGGTAGTGATCACCTTGAAGCCTGGTCCAAGAAGAAAGATCAGACTGGTTGCCTGCGGCAACTTTGTTGACCCAGCCTCAGCGGAACAGAAGGATCAATGCCTATACGCCTCAGGTGCGGATGCCGTTTGCCTTCGCTACGTCCTGAAGCGATCAGCTGAAGAGAGCTGGAAGGCATCAGTGCTGGACATTCGAACAGCGTTCCTCAATGCTCCGCTAGACATCGAAGCTGCAGGTCAAGAGCCAACCATGGTGGTATTGAAGCCACCATCCCTTCTTCTGAAGACGGGCCATGTGGGGCCTAAGGACTACTACCTGGATGGTCTTCGCCAGTCTCCGCGCTGTTGGGGGGGTCTACCGTGATCAAGTACTGAGGAAGCTGACCTCACCCCAAGGACATCGCTTTGTCCAGGCCGAAGCTGAGCCTAATCTATGGAGCATTATGCTCGGTGATGGTGAAGATCAAGATCGTGAAGAAAAGATGGTCGGATTCCTGTTGGTCTACGTTGATGACCTGACGGTTACAAGTGACGAGAAAACCATCAACCAGGTGATCCAAGTCCTACAGGCCCAGTGGGAGACCTCTACTCCTGAAGAAGTGGGAAAAGAAAAGGTCAAGTTTTTGGGTATGGAGATCACCAAAACCAACGAAGGAGGATATCGGGCATCACAAGAAGATTACATCAAGGACAAAGAAGGGATTCCAGAGGCAAAGAACGTGAAGGTCCCTATTCCCTATGTCCAAAGAAGTTGCCCCGATGCCTGAAGAGCCTACTCCAGAGCTGGTCAATGCAGCCCAGAAGCTCGTTGGCGAACTGATGTGGTTATCAACACGCACAAGACCCGATGTGGCATTCGCTACAGGTCGATGTGCCCAAGAAATTCTACCACATCCATCATGGGTGATTGAACAGGCCACCCAAGTCTGGAAGTACTTGAAGTCAACTCCCAATGAAGGACTTGAATTTCCACCTGGAAAGGGAGAAGGTTGGGATGGGGGACCAAAGTCTTTGGAGGTCTACACGGACTCAAGCTTTGCAGCCTCTCCGGAAACCCAAGCTTCCCACGGTGCCGTGATGGTGTTGTGGAATGGGGCACTGATGTTTTGGAAAAGCGGTCGCCAACCATTTCCGGCTCTGTCCACCGCCGAGTCGGAGCTGCTGGAAGCCATTGAAGGTCTCCAAACTGGTGATGCAGTTGATAGCATGATCCAAGAGCATGAGGAACCCTATGTGAAGACCCTCTTCGTCGATAACCTTGCGGCCACTGGGTTCTTCTCCGATGGTCATGCCAACTGGCACACCAGGCATTTGAGGCTGAGTTCGTTGGAGAATCACCACCCTCGACTGGCGAGTGAGACACATGCCCGGCACCATCATGATTGCCGACCTTGGTACGAAACCACTTTCGAGTCAGCGCACCCTGGAGTTGAAAGAGTTGATGTCCATGGTTCTACAAAAGAAAGTGGATGAAGAAAAGAAAGAAAAGGAGGGTGGCCCAGAGGCAGCAAGCAAGGAAAAGAAAGGAAAGGAGGATGGGGCCCAGAGGCGGTAAGTGAAGGAAGAAAAGAAGAAGTTGAGGTAAGGAAAGAAGAAGATGAAGGGTGAACCTCAGCGGGCGACAGCTGCAACTGGCAGTACTGATGGTGCTCATTGCCAAGTCAAAGGCCCAAGGAAATCAGAGTGGTGAAGATGAGAATCCCTCTGACCAAGCCGGCTCTGAGCCACTTCAAATGTTCATGATGCTGTACACAATCCTCGTCATCTTGGTCACCCTGCTCGTTCGACGCTGGTGCGCATGGCTGATGAACCCAGCCATCAATGATGGAGATGCGGCAGCTGGCCATCAATATGCACCACCAGTTCTTGGACCGCCTGGAAGCTCCACCTCTGAATCCCAAGGAAGCTCCATCACCGTGGACTGGCAAGGTCGTGAAGTCAACCGACCAAGCGCCAGGTCAAAAGGTAAGAAAAAGGGGAAAGGACAAGGAAAAGGAGGCCCACAAGATGATGAACCTGTTGATTGGGCGTATGGTCCTGCTCGCCCCATGTCCGCTGAGGAGAGAAGCCAATTTGGGCTGCAGAATCGTGAATGGCTGCTGCGATGGCTGTCTTCCCTCACTCCAGACGAAAGGGCTCAGGCTGGCATTCCGCCAACATCAAGTTCATCTGGGCCTACATGACAGTCGCACTCGGACGCCACTCTCACCGGAATCCAAGAGGAGCCCGAGCAAGAGATCCCAGCTGGCGACCAGGAGGTGGCACCAGGATCATCTCCGCAAGATCCTCAGTGCGACGAAGATGAAACTCTCTACCACCCAACAGAGAGGGATTACCGTGACATGATCGCCGATGAAGCATGGGATCCAACGCCTCCTCAACCGAGACCGGCAGGACCTTCCGAAGCTGCCGCAAAAGCATGCCCCAGGGCATTTCAACGTGATGGCGAACCGCCAATCGGAGATGGAGGCCGGCGGTACCAAGGGATGGGTGTATACATCACCAAGTATGGGCAGAAGTACCACATCTTCACTTCATGCCCCACGCTCACCTCATCCGTGCTCCGGAGCTCACCTCCATGCCATCGATGTGGCTTCACCATCGACATGGCCCATGTCCGAAGGGGTGAACACCTATGGTCTCGTGGATGGGGCGAGATCTACCATGTGGATGCTGCACGGCCACCTGCCTGTGCAACTGGGGCAGAGAAAAAAGTATGCCCCATGTGTTCGATGCCTCCAGGAGCTCCGTGACCGAGAGCTCAATATGTGAAGAAAAGAATGAAAGAAGGAAAAGGGGGTTGCCGGTGCCACATGGCAGCCTACCTATGGCCATTTTGGCCTTGAAGATGGAATGAATGCCTGCTGGCATTGCGGCTTTGATGAGGTCAAAGACCACAAAAGATGAAAGAAAGGAAGATCAGGCCATCTTGGTCTGTGGTTGGCACCCTGCAGCTGAGCTGTCCTCAACCAATGCATGGGCATTGTTGGTTTTGCGCTGCTGCCACATGGCCGGAGTGGCCGCGAAAAGAAAGGGCTTGAGCTGATGGACGGCCCGTCTCCACCATACATGCTGGAAGAAGGGCCTAGAGCCTGGAGTAATGGTGGGGGCAAGGGCATCGAAGTGTCTTCGCCGAAGCTAGGGGGAGTGTTGATGCATGGCCCCTGTGCAAGGATGACACGCTTTTGTTGAGGTGCTGTGAACGCCGCAGCCCTTTTCCATGAGGTGTGAACACCTCATCAAGACCTTGACTGGTCAAGACAAGGCCAGAGGTCACCAGGAAAAAGGAAGCGTTTTCGACGTTGAAGTTTCGTTGATTTGCAGCTTGTTGAACCAAAGGGAACACGACCATGTCCCACCACCAACACTTCCGAACCCTAATCCTGAAAATTCTAGCTGATTGGTCTGTTCAGCATACTACTAATAATCATAAGTAACTCATTGCCCAAGTGATTCATCTGTTCACAATGACCACCCCCCGCTCCCGCTCCCGCGCTCCCGGTTCGTCCTCAGGTCGACGACGATTCGGGTCAAGTCGTCGACGCTTCGTCCAACGGGGTCTGAGACGGATGCATGTTGGACACGTTTAAAGGAGTGCATCTTGGGTACATCCCAACTCTTGCAGGGCCCTGTGAAAAAACATGGGGCCTGAGGGTTGCCAAGCCATTCTCATCATTCTCTAAAATAGTGATCATTGATGATAATTTGTTGACCGAAAAGGTATCATTGGTGTATCGGAATTCAGGGAGACCTCACAGCCACAAGAATGGGGCCCATCTGTGTGGTTCTATCTTCCATGGCCCCCATCTTTTGCTTATGGGCCCCTCCTACCACCCCCAGCCTCGAGTGCAGAGTGCCTGCCACCCACCCACCCCAAAGACCGGGCGAGTCTGACAGGCGATCCCACAGGGCATCAGACCGCTCGGAGCAGCTGCTGGCGGGCTTTTCCTGTCCACGCCAAGGCCGACAGCATCGTTTCCGTCGAGGCGGAGGCGGACGGAAACGAGGCCGTGCGTGTTGCCTGTGTTGGAATATGTTGATGTTGTGATATGTTGTGATTACTTCCACAATGGGTAATGTTTCAAGTACATGAACCCAGGACATGATTCCTGGGAGGCACTCCTCAGTGTCTGCGTTTACTTCCGTGAGAGGCCTGTATGGCTTGGAATGACACCGCCGACAGAAGATCCTGACTAATAAGCCACGGACCAGGATCTGATAGTATCTGAGTGAGGTTAACAACGGGCGACTACTCTTCAGCGGGTACCAGTACTTGGGGTGATGTTGTGCCGACGTACTGATTTCAATGCTCCATCATGTTCCATCACCTTCCGTCCAGTGCCAAGAAGCTGATGAATTCCCCAAACAGCCCTACTGCAACAAGTTGAATCATGCCGGGTAGCCCTCCTGCAGCAAAGTGAATAGTCTTATATAAGTTGGGTCTATCCTAATATTTATCTGTAACTGTAGCAGTGGATGATGATGGTTAGGTGGCAGGCCTTAAGTCCAAAAATAGTGCTGTTCTTGTTACTGACTGTTCCAGGTAAGAATGGACAGACCCAATATGTAATGGCTTGTGGGCGCCCCAAAAGGGAATTGAAGGCAGAAGACCCAAACCAATATCTCCGCAAACGAGGGGAGTCTTTAAACACAGCACCACAGTGTTGTCCAACTAATCGACATGATATTCTCTACTCCAACCCTCAAGATCAGAACTTTTGGAAGATCAAACAACTGGGCCTAAGCAGCCCTTAGACTGAGTTGTTGGTGGCCTCAGTGGCACCGTTGTCACCCAGAAGCTGCTGCCTCCGCTGTAGGTACCAGGTGGCCACGATGCCCAGTGCGACCTGAGCGAGCAAAAACTGCATTCGGCTTCGGATAGGCCACAATGAAGACGCTGTAGTAAGACCATTGGTCAATATCTACCAAATCGATCCAAATCGTCTGGTGTCCAAGAGATTCCAACATAGATATCCCTGTAAAAGCCTTTCTCCTCGTTTGATCCATCCCTTCTTCTACGTAAGTTCATGGCCACGCAAACGCCCAAGATCACAGATGACTTGAAGATGTTGGAGGTGCTGCACTCGATCTGCGAACGTGGAGGTGCTGCACTCGATCGATTGTTTTGTTGGAACTTTCTTCTGTAGTCCTTTTTCAAGGAACACAACCAGCCGAATCCTGCTGTACCCCTAGCACATCATATGGGTATATATATATAATTATATATAGGTTAGCAAAGTTTTATGATAGTGACTTTCCCAGCACGGTTTGATGAGTTGTCCAACTACAGTTCGCATGTCCATTGAAAGACCCTCGGATACTGAAGAAGATCTCAAACGCTTCATGGGATGAACAAAACCTTCTCCGAGAAGCGCGAGGTCGCCTTTGAGATGTGTGTTCGCCAAAAAAAACGCATTGCGATGCTTTCCGGTCTCCCTGAGTTCCCCCCCTTAGAAGTCCCGAAAACAACGTGCCTTCTTCACAATGGCACCCTCGCCATGCTTGAAAAGGCCTCCGCAGACGGCCAACAGGGCACGCGCAAACTCCCATTCATGCTGACGAAGCACGCTGAATCTGGACAACAGCAATCAACGACAGCACCTATTTCACGCATGGAAAATTTTGTGGCAATTTGAAAAGGAAACATTGCAACATGCAAAGCGCTTAATTAGTGTTCTTGGCAGCCCAGGCGCGCCCACTCTATGCCAACATGGCAGCCCTTGTAAAGCGCTGCTACTACGGCGACAACTACTAGTACTACTACGACGAAGGCAGACTACTACTTATCCTCACCAGAACGACTAGCGTAAGCCTAAGGTCTTATGGGTTCGGCCGACAAAAAATAATAATGGGCTTTCCGGAATCAGGTGCAGCCAGCTCTAACCAGTGGGATCGTCCCTGACTTAGGGCTCTTGACACGAGTTCTTTCTTGTCTCAGCTGGGGTTTTCAATCATCCAGAAACGTCCTTCTCCCTTTCTCAAGTAAACCGAGTGAGTCGATTGTGTTCTTCCATTTTCATAATGGGCCTATATATCTCACCAAGGGCATTAGGAGCTGGCTGGCTAGGCTAGGCTTCGCTAGGCTAGGCTAGGCGTAGGTAGGTAGCAGGTAGGCAGGCAGGCAGGCAGGCAGGGCAGGGAGGCAGGGAGGTAGGGAGGTAGGTGGCGTTCCCCACGCAGTGAAAATATGTCTCGACTTGGCCAAACGAACTCAATCGCCAACGAGGTCCCGCGCCTCTGGTGCAGGTCATCTCATCAAACTCGGGGACCTAGACCATGGAACGACTGGAGAAGGATCCGACCAATTGGACAAAAAACAGGGAGGTCATAAAATATCATATATATATAATACATACAATATCGTATCACTTTAATATGATAATTATATTACAAGAATACAATCATACATCATTCAGAAATGATGTAATATATATATATATATCATATGGTATAATTTAATGTATATAATACATACAACCTGAGAAGCTGCAAAACGAAAGCCAGCGCTTCCCTTTCTC